TCCTCTGCAGTGAATGGGTGCCGTCAGAATGGGAGTCCAAACAGCTGATAAAAAAACAACACAATCCACACCACTCATATGTTGTTAAGTGAAAAGCTGTGTTTGTGAGAAACAAATCCATCAAAGATTTTTTTTTTTTTTTTTTTACTTCAAACTATTGCTTCTGGCCAAAATATGCGTAATCCATAATAACGCTTCCTCCAGTGAAAAAATTCATCCCCTGTTGTCTCTCACATCTCCTGAAAAAGTCCATCCCCTGTTGTCCTCTCACATCTAAATCCACCAATATGTTTGTTTATAACTGTTTTCGCAAGTAAACAGTGCTTGATCTGTGCATAGTTCTCTCCTGATTAAGATGAGATTACTTTTTTCCTAGTCAAAGCAATATTATGGATAGAGGACTCATTTTAAGTTAAAAACGTCTTAATAATGTATTTGTTTCTTACAAACACACAGCTTTTCACTTCGCAAGATGCTAACTGACAGACTGGAGTTGGATTACTTGTGGATTATTGTGATGTTTTTATCAGCTGTTTGGAGACTCTGACGGCACCCATTCACTGCCAATAATGTAATGCTAAATTTCTCCAAATCTGATGAAGAGACAAACTCATCTAATCTTTGGATGGCCTGAGGGTGAGTACATTTTCAGCTAATTTATATGTTTTAATAAACTATTACGTTAAAACTTGATCAATTTAGTTCCTATTATCATTCTTGGTATGCACAACCCTTTAAGATTACTTTTATGAAACAAGGTATGAGAAATTATTGTTTGTGGTAATCTACATTATGCCACAAATGGTGTCGACTGAACTTCTGCAGCAGTAACGTTCACTTAGACAGTATACAGACAATAATATTCACACAGTCTTTATGACTCATATATGTAATGCATTTTGTCATTTATAAGCATTCACCTGGAGGCCATTCTTGTTGAATTGTTTCAGGTTCAGCTAACTGAATGAGCAGGGAACTGCTCCAGTGTTTATGTAAGCAGTGCGAAGCCCAGGAACATGTTTGCAATATGAAAGAACACACTAATAAAGAGGAATGCAAACCGTCAGTCTTCCTTTCACGCAGAAATCTGAGTTTACTTACAGGATCAAATGAAGTTGGCCAAAGAGAGTGAATTGTCTAAGAGCAAAAATACACCACAAATTCAATTAAAAAAATGTATCCTCAAAAAATTATCCTGTGTTTCCAGTGCATATTCCAGCAAAATAAATTTAAGACGCATTTGGTAGAACAGAACATTTGATCCAGTATTTGGTGGAGCAACTTGGCGTTCCTCAGTCCCTCCACAGAAAAGCTCAAATAAACTCGTCGATTAGCACGTCATATGTTTTAATGGACAAATAACACTGTATCGGTAATATATAACATTTCATGGTTCAAAGATTTCTCCTTTTCATCATCCAGGATCTTATGTATCATTTTTGCACATGGCCACCAGCCTGATGTTACAATATTAACACTATTCGGAGTTGCAGCCAGATTTTGTTACATTTGTCAGCTGTTCAGAACAGTGCTCCCCTTTGGGCCGGTCCCAAAACTAGCTATATTTGGTTATCAACCACCTCCAGGAGGCTATTTTAGGCTGTGGGAAAAGTTAGGCCTTCTTCATTGAGAACGCTGCGTCACTGTCTAGCTAATGGGAAAGACCCATATCATGGGAAAGTGTTATTTTGGTGTTCTTCTCCAAACAACGGCTCTATTTTTGGAGTTGCATTTTTAGTTTTGACCCAAGAGACCGTTTAATACATCACTGAAATGGTAACTGAAATGTGAATTTGATGTTAATTGGGGGGAACATTATTACACGAGATAAAACGCTTCCATGCGGAGTCACACGGAACAACAGCGCCTCCCGCCGGAACAAAAGATCGTCGGGTTGAATGTAGCATTGGCGCCATCTACTGGTCATACCGGAGTATGGCACAATCAATAGGAAACCTATATGAATGAACTCTAAATATTTAATATACTAAATGCTAAGCAGATTTATTATTATTATTAATGTTTTGGGTATGTGATTAGCAACAACAGCATAGATAAAACAAAATAAAATAAAATAAAATAAAAGGTTTGAAGTCTGTTAACAAAGGCCCTTTTGGCCCCTGCTTGACATGACAGTGAAAAATAATAGTGATTTTTTTTTTTTTTTGGGTGGTACATTTATTGTGACCTCAGTTAGATAAAATAAAATAAGTTAGTTATTTAACTCATATGGACCATGCTTATGAGGGGGGATGAAATGAAATGATTTTTTTCTGGTATTTTCCAATCAAATCAATAAATTAATCCCTAAATAAAGAGTTTTATATTGACATGAGAGTGGGAAAAATAGTGACTGATTTTTAATTTTGGGTGATGTTATGATACATCTTTAAAATATAATAAAATATAATAAAATAAAAAAATAATCTTATTCTAACAAGTGTAACTACAGCCTAAATGAGTTTTAATTTATGTAATGATAAAAGTGCCACACATATACATTTATAATAATAAATACATTTATAATAAAAAAAGAATAATACATTAATAAACTAAAGACCCTTAAAAATTTTATAAAATATACCACCTCGAGCAGGATCGTCTGATCAAACTACGGGTAACTGAGCTGAACAACATGACATAGGGATTTTTTTTTTTTTTTGGGTGGTACATTTATTGTGACCTCAGTTAGATAAAATAAAATAAGTTAGTTATTTAACTCATATGGACCATGCTTATGAGGGGGGATGAAATGAAATGATTTTTTTCTGGTATTTTCCAATCAAATCAATAAATTAATCCCTAAATAAAAAGTTTTATATTGACATGAGAGTGGGAAAAATAGTGACTGATTTGTCATTTTGGGTGATGTTATGATACATCTTTAAAATATAATAAAATAAAAAAATTATCTTATTCTAACAAGTGTAACTACAGCCTAAATGAGTTTTAATTTATGTAATGATAAAAGTGCCACACATATACATTTATAATAATAAATAAATTTATAATAAAAAAAGAATAATACATTAATAAACTAAAGACCCTTAAAAATTTTATAAAATATACCACCTCGAGCAGGATCGTCTGATCAAACTACGGGTAACTGAGCTGAACAACATGACATAAGCAAAAAATGAGTTCATAAATCAAAAGTTTACATTCACACTGGGGAAATCTTATTCTAACAAGTGTAACTACAGCCTAAATGAGTTTTAATTTATGTAATGATAAAAGTGCCACACATATACATTTATAATAATAAATACATTTATAATAAAAAAAGAATAATACATTAATAAACTAAAGAGAGACCCTTAAAAATGTTATAAAATATTATACCACCTCGAGCAGGATCGTCTGATCAAACTACGGGTAACTGAGCTGAACAACATGACATAAGCAAAAAATGAGTTCATAAATCAAAAGTTTACATTCACACTGGGGAAATGATCAGCCACAGACTCTTTGTACCTTTAGTATGCTCTTCAGTTATAAACCATTCATATACTGCCCTCTACTGGCTATAGTTGATAACCAAAAACAAACTGCACACAGCTGCTGCACGATTCTTCAGGAATCAGTTTATTGTTAACTAAAGTTCAAGTATGCTTTATTACATCATCCTTAAGTGTTCAAATCAACCACGGTACGGCTCTAAATTATTCTAATATAGAATTCAGAAACTGGTCTATTTCAGTATGGGGGCTATTTTGGTTAATGTGTGTTTGTCAGATTATAAAAAGTGTGTCCCTTACGAAAACGAAAAGCCGCGCGAATATTTAGAACGCTGGTCACTGTGACGTCACGGAGATCCCAAGAGATCTCATTACATTACACAGGTCTCATACAATATAGTATCAAGAAGCAACACAGTATTATTATCATTTAAATAACTGTTTTCTATTATAATATGTCATTTGTTCCTGTGGCAGGAAAGTTCCTGTGGCATCACTCCAGTCAGTGTCACATGATCCATCAGAAATCATTGTAAAATGCTAATATTCGCTAATCATATCAAATATTTGCTGCTCAAGAAACATTATCATTGTTGAAAGCAGTTGTGCTGTTTAATATTTTGTGGATATGATACACTCCCTGTTGAAAAAAACCAGCATATGCTGGTTAGGTATGTTTTGACGCTGGGATGCTGGTTTATGCTGGTCCTTTGCTGGTTTATGCTGGTCCTTTGCCAGCACATGACCAGCATTGACACGCATTTGAACACAACACTTGATGGCTTAAAATAAAATATAACTTAAAAAAAATCAAATTAAGTGTCATTTATTTAGAAAAAAAAAAAGTGATGGGAAAACATTTTTCTTTGATTAGGAGTGCCCCAATCCTACATCTAGATTATATTTATTCTTATAGATTTTTATTTATTTATTTTAGTTTTTTCGTTGCTGCTGTTAGATTGATTTATATTTGTCACCAATAGAAGGTTTATTATAAACCATCTCAACACAGATAAATATGGGTAATTATTTTACAACAAAATAATGCAAAGCCCCTTAGGATTTATCACTGACATTGAACTGTATGACTAAGAAGAACACAAACACAAAGAAAAATGTGGAATGCAGCAGCAGTTACCTTATAAATCTCCTCATACGTCTCCTCATCGATTTCCACAGTCGTCACTGTCTCTTCAACATCTCCGAGGATCATGTTTAAGTGCTGGTCATAGGCCTAATGTGGAAAAATAAATAAATAAATAAATTGTGTGTGCGCGTGTTTATGTAAGAAGTTTGATTCTAAATAATAATGCTCAACATCTCCGAGGATCATGTTTAAGTGCTGGTCATAGGCCTAATGTGGAAAAATAAATAAATACATTGTGTGTGCGCGTGTTTATGTAAGAAGTTTGATTCTAAATAATAATGCTAAAGTATCTATATAATTTAAAATTAAAGATTGGTAGTTTGTTGTCTACATCCTGCTGACTAAAACAATTGAAAAAAAAAACGGTTTCTTGAAGTAAAATAAACTTACACTGAAATTATATAGAGAGAGATTTAGTTTAACTTTATGTACCAAAATAAATAAAACTAAAACTGCAGTAATATTCATTCATAATAATTAATTATTCAATAATAAATCATATTAATGAATTAATCATATATATTTTTAAAAGGGCAAACATTTTAAAATAAAAAACAACACAACAACTGAAAGGTATAGTAAACATACCAAAAATTAAACCAGAAAATATTCAAAAAAATAAACAATATTATTAAAAACTACTGTTGTATATCAATGATGCTAAAATAATCGTTATGCAATGAAACTTTAAGCCATTATTATCTACTATATTAACTATTGGCAGGTTATTAGCATTAGCAAAGATAAAAACCGTTTCAATTCGTTTCATTGTGTTGTCCTGCGCTGTAGTTGTAAACTGGTAATAGAAGTAAGAAAAGCTGGCCATCAGTAAACACACAGGCTGCTAGATGAATGGATGGATGGATGAATGCGGTGGAGGAGAGTTAGTGTTTCTCACGTGCAGTCTGCCGCGCAGCTCTCTGTCGTTCCTCATCTTCACATAGATCCTCTCATCCAGACTCAGCCGGATCAGATCCAGAGGCTCTTCCACTGTGTTGCTGGTTTGTTGCTGCAAATTACATTAACGTTACAGTCATATAAACCGATGAAAATGTGAACCTTCTAAGACCTGCTGGTTATAAACTGCCTCGAAATACTCGTGTGTTCAACGAGACATACATGAAAACATCCGATGAGATTCAGCAGCTCGGCGATTATCAAACGATTAAAGATATAACGTTACACTTACGTAACGTTATATAAACCAAAATAGCATACCTGCTCAGCGTCGTCCGCCATCTTTCAAAGTTACCCAAAATGCTTTGCGTTTGTCTCTTCTTCTTCTTCTTCTTCTTTTGGTTTTATGGCGGGTTGCGAACCAACTTCATAGGTGCATACCGCCACCTACTGTGATGGAGTGTGAAGAGAACGTACCATTTCTCACCTAAATCTTAAATTCTGTTCATTGGTCTGAATACTTTCCGTACCCACTGTATATATATAAAAAAAATAAAAAATAATAATAATATATATATATATATATATATTCAGATATAGATAGAGAGATTTAGTTTATCTTGATGTATTAAAATAAATACAATTAAAACTGCAATAATAATAATTAATATTAATTATAGATATTTTTAAAAGGTCAAACATTTATAAAAACAATTGAAAAAAAAAACAATACAACAACTGAAACGTATACTTAAACGTACCTAAAATGAAACCAGAAAATATAAAATAAATAAAAAAACTATTCATATTATTATAAACTACTATTGTATATCAACGATACTAAAATAATCGTTATGTAATTAAACTTTAAGCCTTTATTATCTACTACATTAACTATTAAATCGTCATTGGTATTAGAAGAAATTTAAATTCGTTTCACAGTGTGTTGTTCTGGACTGTAGTTGTAAACTGGTAATAGAAGTAAGGAAAGCTGGCCATCAGTAAACACACAGGCTGCTGGAGGAATGAATGGATGGATGGATGAATGAATGAATGAATGGATGAATGAATGGATGAATGCGGTGGAGGAGAGTTAGTGTTTCTCACGTGCAGTCTGCCGCGCAGCTCTCTGTCGTTCCTCATCTTCACATAGATCCTCTCATCCAGACTCAGCCGGATCAGATCCAGAGGCTCTTCCACTGTGTTGCTGGTTTGTTGCTGCAAATTACATTAACGTTACAGTCATATAAACCGATGAAAATATCCATATAAACAATCGTCTGAGAGCCGCTGGTTATAAACTGCCTCGACATACTCGTGACATACATGAAAACAACATCTATGATTCAGCTCCGCGATTATCAAACTAATAAAAAATATACACTTACGTTTACATAAAAACAAAATAGCATACCTGCTCAGCGTCGTCCGCCATTTTTCAAAGTTACCCGAAATGCTTTTCGTTGGTCTCCCACAAACCATCGGGCGGGAAATGTAACTGTTTCCTGTTAGTTAGACCAAAGAGTTCCTCCAGAGGGCGCGTGACGACCCAGAAAACTGAATGCGCAACTGAGAGGCATTCAAATCTTGGTACGGATTTTGTAGACCAAAAGTGTAATATTTTACATCTATATTTTCACTTATATGTCAGTAACACTGTCCTTAGAATAAAGGACGGTGTAACTGACATATAAGTGAAAATCAATCTTTCTGCAACATATTCTTAACCCTCTACCGCACGCATTATGATAGACCTATAGAAAAATATATTTGACTTTTTATTTTCTACGAATGGCTTAACTTGAAGTGCTGTAAAAAAAAAAAGATATATATATTTTAAGGTACTTTATGATATGTTGCCATACGGCAACAGCATACAATAGTGGATCTAACTTAGAATAAGTGTAAGTTTATTTGTAGTTAATATTTTTCCTCAGAAATGTTGTTTGTGTTGATTCAATTGGTGCTATTATAAGCTTTAACACAGTACTTATAATTGACACTTTATACATAGGCCTACTTTCCAACAACTTGTGCTTTTATTTATTCCATTCTTTTTGGCTGAATAATGATTTATCATTTTTGAATTTCACTACATTTTTCATGAATATTATTTAAATTGCAAATTTATACAGTTAAAACAAATATAATACTGTATATCATGTATCATAAAACACTTACATAAAACCAAAAACATTGCAGTTCATGAAAATTCTGCATTACACAATCTTATGAGAGGAAGACTTTGGTACATGTAATTGTAAAGACCCTTGTAATAATGCGCACCTCTGCACATCTGATATGGCTTAATAATTCATTAGCCTAAAAAAAGAGGCAGATAGGCTATTCAATCCAATAACCCAATTCAATTAAAGCACAATATACAGTATATGTGCTACAGATAAATCTTAGTTTTCTCAATGCAACATTAAACATCTTTCTTTTAAGAATTTCTTTAAAGAATTTAACACTTACTGAGATTAAGAAAATTGAAATATGATTTACTGTAACATCCTTGGCTAGTTAACACTCTCTCACAAAGGTGAGACTTTGTGGTTCATTGCTTGTAACATGAGCAAGACCAGTGGAACATTTGTCAAAAGCATTTAAACACTTTATATGAGAGGTGTTAGCCACAGGTATACAAAGCAGTGCAGATGCAGGCCTATTTTAAGAGTAGGCTAAATTATGAAAAAGTTATTCAGCTTATGTCGTTGTAACTGAAGACAGATTTCAGGCGAAACATCTATGATTTGTAACTTCCTCTGATTTTGAATTGAATAAACAGCTGAAAAGAGACATATGACACTGTCCAACAATTTTCATGAGATGCATTTTTGTCCTTTTTGGAGCTAGAAAATTTACTTCTTTGAAGGTGAAAGAGTGAGAGTAGCCATGTCTACATCTAATTTTGTAACAGCTTTAATAACAATACAATAACAAGACATGTGTTTAACACTAGAAATATATTACAAATAATATAGTATTCAGACTAACAGTTATTATTCCAATATTTCTACTTATGAACATGAAATATTACTTTGAATTTAAATTAGACTATCATGTGAGAAGAAAGACATCAGAGGCATGAAACATCTAGGAAATAAGTTACTTGGAACAACAAATATAGTTTACACAAACAATTCTGACCAGAATACACATAAAGACAACTAGCCTAACAGGTTAGCCTAAATGAAAAGAAAAAAAAAAAATATATATATCGAGTTTCACAATTTGAGTTGAATTACTGAAATAAATGAACTTTTCCATGACATTCTAATTTATTGAGATGCACCTGTATATACTGTATATATATATATATATATACAGTATATATACACATCAAATGCAATCAATCAAAACAATAGCAGCAGTAATTTCTGGCAATTGTACATTCTGCAAGCTCAAAAAAATATATCTATACAACAACAATATCAAATACAAATATATGTGACTGAATTAGGTCATTTATGTTTAAGTGTTCTTGACTTTGGCAGCTCTAGAAGCGCATAAGTGCTGTTGACTTGTCTGGACTGAAACCTTTGACATTGTGTGGGAAGGTCCACCGGAGCATACTGAAAAAGCAACAAGAAACCAATAATGCAATGTAATCAGAATGCAACCAATGCTGTTTGCTTTAAATGGACTGCTTTTATTGATCCAAACAATTCTACAATCTCAGAAACATTGTCTGTGGAACACAAAAGAAGATGTTAGAAGATGCCTTAGAACTTTGAAGATCCTTTTTTTAAATGAAAATCAGTGGGGTCCAAATGTTATTTTTGGACTCCTCAAAATATATATATTTTTTTTTTTGAAGAAAGAGATGCATACAGGTTTGAAATGTTATATTTTTCTGTCAATTATGGTTTCACTTTTTTTTTTACCAGCACTTGATTTGGGTCCTCTTGTTGAAGAGCCGTAACTTGAGGTTGCTGTAGGTTCGTGTTTTGAAATCGTTCTGCACTGTCTCTGGTTCTCTTGCTTCCATAAACAAACACCTTTAATACAGAAAGAGCAACAGTTGCAGTTCTATTGAAAAACTCACCTATGATCACAATGATCAGAACACCATTCAACACAACAAATATAAGGGTAAGAGTTTGCCATTGTGTCTGATTCTGATTCTGGATCTCTGCACCTGGTTCTATGATATATAAAAAATTCAGCATTGTGCAACCATTGATGCGGTTTGACATTTTTACAGTTTGTTGTCTAAAAAGGATGTAGTGCATAACATGATCACTGAACGGTCACTCACCAGTGATGTGTAGGCTGGTGCCATTGCTGTATTGTGGAGGTGCGTCTGTGGTCAAACAGTAATAAAGTCCTAATTCATCAATAGTGACATTATTTATGAACAAATGAGGTTTACATTGCACTGAATATTTGTGTCTGAATCTATTGTTGTAGTAACGAGCTGGAGAGAAAGTGCGCAATATCAGAACTGGAGGATCTGGCAGTTTCAGTAATAACCAGTTAACCTCCTTAACATCAAAATCACAGTTTATAGTCACGTTTTGACCCAAATCTGTTAACTGATCTGTTAAAGTCTCTGCAGCTCGACACCATATGAGCAGATCTGTGAAATAAAACACACACACACACACTCACATCTTTAATGTGACTGTGGTATTAAAACATCAGTGAATTTATATATTTATAATTATAAAGATATTCATAATGTACATTAAACTCACATAGCTGAAGCCGCATGATCTTCAGGATGGTAAAACACTTCAGCATGGTGCAGTCTTGTGCTTTGTCACAATGAGACTTTACCCCAGAATTTCAAGAGGGGAATTTCTACCACATGAAGAGTAAGTTGAAGTCTGCACTGACCACGATTTGTAACTATATATTCTGATCATGCAAACCAGTTTTTAAACAACTGACAGAACAATGTAGCACTACAATAAGGTTCATTCTGTTAACATTATTTTATCTATTAGATATCATGAAATTAATATGAACATTATTATTTTTTTAAATCTGCGTAAAATACATTTTGAACATTAACATTTTTATCAAATTGATATCAGTTATGAACAAACATGAATTAACAATCAACAACTGAATATTTATACATCCATACGTTAACATTAACCTGGATTTACAAATGCTGCAAAATATTAATTGTTATCTCATGATCTCCTAATACGTTATTTTGATGGTCCACTTTGGACATTCTTCTAACTATAAGTAACTTTGCAACTGCATGTCAACTAGCAGTTATTAGAGTATTGGTAGACTGTCTGCTTAATATCTGCTAACACTTTATTTGTATGTTCTCCAACACACATTCTACTGAATTTAAGTAACTTTCCAAGTGCATGTCAACTTAATAACCCTAACTTAACAGTATTACTCTAAAAAAAAATGTTAGTTGACATGTTGCAAAGTTACTTATAGTTAGTGGAATGTCTATGTGGACTATCAAAAGGATCCTACTGCATACATACAGTAAAGTTAACAAATGTAAATTCATAGTAAAGTGTTAATATTTACTTTCTCGCTAAAAGTATAAACCTTATATGTCATACCTGTAATATGACCAATCTGTTCTATCAGTGTTAAAGCTTGGGCACAATCCAAATTGACGTCTTTCTAGGGTTAGACAGAAAAAGTGTACTTTTTAGTTATAGACCGTCTTGAATGTATGAGTGTTTCGTCTTTGAATATCTGTTGTGCACTCTGTGCTTTCTGCAGCTGATAAACCACTAGCTCATTGTGGTCAGCACAAACCATGTTTGTCCTAATTGCAAGTCAGTGTTGTCTTTTCTTGTAACTTGCATAGTTTTGTTAATGATTTTCAAGTATAAGAGAATATCACACAACCTGTCCATGTTGGCATATGTCTAATTTGACAAGTCACATGTGATCATTTAATCATTTAATTGAATGCTCAAACTTTGATGTCAACAACAAAAGATGTGAATAGAATTTCCCTCCTCCATTTCAAAAGTTGAAGCCAGTTTACTCTTGTAACTATACATGATTATGGTTGGTTGCATTTAATTATTTACATTCCTTTTTTATTTACATTCTGCTGTCTGTGACCCAGTGAAAGATCAACACATTTCCACATAAAATCAGATGTTGACTCTGTGAATCAATAATGAGTATTTTAAAGAGTACTCAAGTTTCTAACATTGTTTACATGTCTGGCATGTGTTTTTAATATTCTTAAAGACAAGCCATGTGCAAATTCACAAATCAACACCATTGCTGAGTAGGCTACTACCTCCTTAAAACTGCAGTGTACTAAAATCAGTATCAAAAACTTTTCTTTTTTTTTTAATAGCACGTTTCCTACCATCGCAAATATGTAACCAGTCCTGTCAACATGCGGTATGGGGCTTTTCATATCTCCACATGGTCACAGGTTTCTATTTACAGTGTTTTTACAGCGTTGAGTCATGTAGCCAATCACAGACATATCAGTTGATTTCATTAAAACAACGGCCAATCATAGGTGTTTAACTTAGAATCAACTGCTCAAAATAGCTGTGTCCCAATTCGAAGGACGCCGACACCATCAAAGGCCATGAATGATGGACCGAACATTCTGAAATAGGATGGACTAGCCTTTGGAGGATTAATCTTGTCGCCAACTGTGACAGCTGACATTGACAAGAAGCAGTAATGTTCTCACTCGACTTTTCTGAAAGCGACATGTTAGAAAACACTCTCTGTCTTGAGAATGTTCCAAATATGCCTCACCCCTCCTTTCTTTCCCTCTCCCTCTCACTCTCCCTCCAAGAAAAACATCACCAGCTGCTAAATTCAAATCTGCGTTCGCTGGTTGGCACAGAGCCAGAGACACACGTTTTTAAAGCGCTGCACATTATAAGCAATCACATACGATTCTGTTGAGTTTATGAATGCAAGGACCAATCAGAGGCGTTCAGATGAGTCATCGCTGAAACACGCTGTTTCGTCACGCGCGCGCTCGCTGACTGAATTCTCTGGCTAATTCTCTCATCAGAAACAACAAAGTGAAGATGTACGGGACTGAAGTGAAAATGTTCTTTGATAATGTAAAGGTTCTTTGCTCTCTTTCTGTACAATAAGATTGTTATGGGCTAATTAGTAACTTGCAATGTTTTTATTGAATTCACATTAAATACAAAGTCAGTCGTATAAAAAATATTTTATGGTATGACACCCATATCTGGTACTTAAGTAAAAAGATGGATTTTTATTCAAAGTTAATAGATTACACTAGGCTTCTTTGCCCATCGCCCATTATAGATCAACTAAGTCGCTGGACTGAAGTGAAAATGTTCTTTGATAATGTAAAGGTTCTTTGCTCTCTTTCTGTACAATAAGATTGTTATGGGCTAATTAGTAACTTGCAATGTTTTTATTGAATTCACATTAAATACAAAGTCAGTCGTATAGTGTTAAAACCAATAAATCCTAATGGAATATGTCCCAAAACACACTTCAGAAAAACATTTTTTAATGGTTTAAATGGTTAAAGGTTGATGGTCTGTAATGGTTATTTGTAGTGGAAAACATAAAAATTTTCTGTGATGGTTTTATTGTTTGTTTGTTTTTTCTCAGTAGGTATAAAACCCCTGCTGAAAAAACAAAAAACAAAAAAAACAATAGACACCATTACAAAATTTGTAATGGTTTTACTGGTTATAATGGGACTTGTATTAGTTTTAATGGAAACTGTAATGAACCCTGTGGGTCTCTACTAGTAATTGGTTGCCTTCTGTAGGTGGCGTGTTAAAACCAATAAATCCTAATGGAATATGTCCCAAAACACACTTCAGAAAAACATTTTTTAATGGTTTAAATGGTTAAAGGTTGATGGTCTGTAATGGTTATTTGTAGTGGAAAACATAAAAATTTTCTGTGATGGTTTTATTGTTTGTTTGTTTTTTCTCAGTAGAGACATAAGCCTATATCAGTTATACAGTGGTATTGTGGCTGCTGTGTGTCACATGACAAGCATGAGAGCCCCCCCCTCACCAGTGCCCCCTCAAAAATAATGAGTGCATGATGCCCCTGACACTAAAATACAAAATTATTTTTCAGATAAATGAAACATGATGAAACATTAATTTTAGTTGAAATTGTTATAGATTACGTCTAGAGATTGCAGTGATACATGACATGGTGAAAAATGACTGAATGAATAATACTAGGTAGGAAAGTAGGTTAAGATGGTTTTTAAAATTGTGCCCCCTAAAAACACACGTGGCCCCTGTCTGCCCCCCTCCCCCCATGGTAAATTAATCATTTTTGTTTTGTTTTGTTACTTCAAATAATAATTTACAAAGAAGTATTAAGATCATAATGTTTTGTGGTTATAAAAACAGACCTAAGCCAACAATAGCCTTTGAAATGACTTAAAATGCATTATATAAAAACAATGAGGCAATAATGATTAGTTAATTAATAATTTTATGGTTTCATTGAATAACACTGTTAAAATGCATAATTGTGCCCCCTAAAAGCACACGTGGACCCCTTTTTTTTAACTTCCATAATATTTGAGGGAGGGGGCACAATGATACAATCCTGCTTAGGGCACCCATTTGACCAGCAGCGGCCCTGAAAACTAAACAGGGTGCCGAACAACAGTCACATCACAGATCAGCAGTAGGAGTCAGGTTTCATGTGAGGAGAGAGTGAGTCGAGCTGACTGAAGAGTGAGGTGAGAAGAAGACAATGGCGAAAGATTTAGTTTAGAAATGAAATGCAAAAGCGCCTGTTTTAAAAAATATTTTGGATTTTGAAAAGCCTGTGTGAAAGAAAAATGCGCACGGGCATTTACAAGCTATTTAAAAGCGAGTAAAAGAGGGAAAACTCTAACGAATTACCCCAAACTAACTAACTGTGTATGTACACAGCAGACTTACCTCTGTTCCTTGACAGTTTTTCCAGCATCCCACCCCTTCTCCGCAGGGAAGAACTCCCCCTCCGTAGGGGGGGTACTCTGGGTTCGGGCCAAAATTCCGACTTCGGAGCCCTCCCCTCGGACAGCACGCCAAATACGCATAACCTTTACTCTGTTTATTATATGTAAGTGTGAACTCGTGAATGTACATTTGTATCATTTGATATTCAAGTAAACTGAAGCCCAATACTTACATTTTCCCTACAAAAAATTCTGTTGTCATCACTCATCAGCACATAATGAATCTTGGGATAGCCTGGGCCACAAAGGATCCATCAGTTGAATCCTTCATTTCCTGTGAAACAAAGGACGGATTTTGACGTCACATTTGAAGGAGACTTTGAATTGGGACAGCCTGTGCCGCACCACGGTGTTGCAACCGGTCTTCGAATGCAGCCCTTGAGGGACGCAGCCTCTGAATTGGGACGCAGCTTATGCATGCTTTTGAATCCTCTCATTATAACAAAGTGTAGACAAGATGTAAATAAGATATTAATTGTATAGTGTAGAGTTTCATTTTTTATAACAGAATGAAATTGCGATGAAATAAGACGACTGATAGCTTTTCAGTGATTATAAGGGGAGTGCTCTTTGCTCTTTCTAGGCTACTTCTGATCTTTATTCATGTTTATTTCATGCTATAACTAGTAAAGAGGAAGAGCTCTACAGCGGTCTGACATGACACATAAAAGAGCCACAAAACTGTATTTATTGTTTGAATTTCTTAAAAAAATTACACAATTTTAAAGCTGTTTCATACAAGAGGTAACCTGGGGTGTTTCCCAAAAGCATCGTTAGCCAACTATGGTCACAAGTTCCGTCGTTACCAACATAGTTCAATGATTCGGTGTTTCCCAAAACCATAGTTCAAACGAACATTCGCAAACAGCGTCGCAAACTTGCGTGGTAAGAACTACAGCTCTCAACCTCTGGTTAGAAGCATAGTTTCTTGTTA